TTTCTATTCTTTTATTTGATGATTTAAGTATATGACATTAATTCAGCATTAATTTAATAAGAACAAAGAATAAACTGGAATATCCTGATCATAGACAACTCATAGTTCATGCATTTTTATCTGATAAAATGACATTTACTTTTTATTAAAATGCTGTTTTGGCCACAAAGATTTTAGTAACATACAAGGACATGGTATATTCTTGATTTTTAAGTCCTTTTTATGTTCATACTGTCCAAGCTGTTTAATGTGGCACTTTGTGGCCTGGCAACACCCCTAGTCCAGTACTATCTTGAATCTGCCACCACTAGGCTATTGAGCAACCGCAAGAGCAAGAGCAACAGCACATGTTGTTGCCAACTTTCCAATGGTAACAGAATGTTTTGATGATATGGTCTTATAGCTGCATATCTACCCATTCAGAGTGGTAAGTATAGATTATATTTTTGCTTTTAGCAATATATGTGGCAGAAGCTTTACATAGGGTGTTTTTTGGGGGTGATTTCTTACATCTAGAATTTTCAGTGGTTCATTCTGATTAAAGGCGTTGAATACTTGTTCTTTTTTTTTTAATTTTTGGATGTTTTGTAAATTATTTTTTTTTTTTTTAGATTCTATTTGGTAAACTCCTGCTTTTGATCTAAGATTACCTCTCTGTTTTATGTTAATTAAATTTTTAACTATTTTTAAGTGTTTGTGATAACTTTGATATTGAGATTAGCCAAATTTCTTTCAAGTTTATTAATTATAGAGTTTGTAGTTAATATAATGTGCCCAGTTTTTTGTGTTAACATTTACACTTTCTTTTTACTTTTTTTTTTTGTATTCTTGCCATTTATATCATTAACTTCACTAATCTGTTTTTTATATGAATGATTCATGTAAAATATATATATATATATATATATATATATATATATATATACACACACACACACACATGCGTGCTGGCCATTGGCTCCTATAAGAAGCTCATCTGCTCTTTGCTAGTTGGGGAGCTGGTTTAGATGCCACCTACACGTCCATGTGGCAGGTTGTACTAGGTTACATGTTACTAGTAGCAGACCTGAACTAAAACATTTAATTGGATGTTTAATTTGAAGCCAGGATCAGTTCAAATTAATCAAGACTATCAAGAAAATGTCAGGCATTATTTTTTCTTTTTCATATGTAAATTCAACTGCCAGTTCAATTTGACTTTGTTCATTGATGAGATTTAGTAAGTCTTCAGCATTTTTGAGTAAAACATTTTGAAATGGATTGGTTTTTAAGAATCCTTAAAAGTCAAGGTAAAAATACCACTGGTAGGAAAACCCATAGATAGGCTGAATTTTTATGTGAAAAATATTTGTTTGTTCAAAGTTGATAAACCTTTTCCTACAGATTAATAGTCAAAAAAGGTTTATCTTTGATTTTGTGAGGTAGTTCTTTAGAAAATGTAAGTATTTGTCAACAGGTATGTTAGTATACAGGGTGCGATGTGTAAATTGTCGCCATTTTATATTTTTAATTTGATGCATACACATTGTTTGTTTTCGATTTTGTTGACTGCACAGTATTAAAGGGTCAGCTAGGCACCATCTGTGAGAAAAAGGACACCATGACACAATTCACTCCATCAGAAATTTGGAAATGGCATGCTGTACTGCTTGGCATTCGTGTCAGAAGCTGTAATACGAACATTTCAGAGTGTCTGAGGACAATGCAGAGGATTCAGAAAGAGTTGGATGAGTCTAATGGTGATTACAAAGGTACGACAACTTGAAAAACTCACTGTTCTGATAATTTGTTGGTGGGGGCCTCAGACACAACACAGAGGCCTACATCAAGTGCCTTGAGGAGGTAGTGCTACTCAGGGTCTTCCAGCAGCTGCCCTCTTGACCCAATGTCTGGCAACAAAACTCTGCACTATGCCACACAAGCAGGAGAACCCAGTCATGGCTGTCAGACAATTTCTGCAACCACATTACCCCTTACCCACCCAATTCCTCAGACTGCAATACCCTTGATTATTATGTGTAGGGAACAGTTGAGCAAGAGACCAACAGCATTCCTTGTAACACAAAAGATGAAATAAAGGCAAGGATTATGGCAGCATTCACCAACATAAACAAGGAGATTGTGCGGAGAATTTCCTGCAAATTCCAAAAAGTCATCTGGAGGCTGCGGTTCAAGCCAATGGCAATCTTATTGAATAAATTTACTATTTAGTATTTCAAGATATTATTGCATAATTTTGGTAAATATATCTGTTAAAATGAGATATCAGTGTTATTTTCATTTTTGTGTAATTTAGATGACAATTTATCCCTCGCACCCAGTATAATGATTTAATATCTAAATTATCTCTGACTGTATTTTTCATTTTTATGTTTTTCAATTTGTTGATGAGATCACCTGATACTTCCTTAATTGGTTGTTAAACTTTTAGGTAGGGGTTTTGCTAAGTTTTAAGGAGCACCATTAACAGAAGAGACAATTGGAGTGTTGGGCTTGTGTGTTTTGGGGAGCCATAGAGACAAGGTATAGGAGGAAGAGAAGGAGTGCAATGACCCTAATATCTATTAACCCACAAAATGGGATCAGCAAATGGAATTCAAATTCCAGTTAAGACTCACCCTGCATGCTATCCTATTGCTAGTTATCTTGACTACAGCTTTGTCATTGGTATGCCACAATGATAGATAAAGAAAAGAATAAGTTCATGAGTAATCCATTTCCTCCAAATTATTTTACCTATCCAGGTAAAGTGATTTTTTTTTTTTTTTTGGCTCTATTCATTGTCAGCATTGATGGCTGGTGGCCAATAATATATAATTCTTCTCATGAAAAAATTAAAATCGCTAATAATAATTGGCTTAAAAGAATGCCCCCTTGGAATATTTTATCAATATTATAATGAACTGATTTTTAAAAGTTTTCTGTATTTGTTATCATAACAAAAATAGCACACCATAGCACATTTTTGTTAGCACAATATCATTAAAATCTCTAATTTGGATAACAAAGCTATTTCCAGTCCAGTCAGGCTACTGGTTTTTCAAGTAATTTTTAATTAAGTATAAACCTGCAAGAAGACTAAGGGAGATGACTCAGAGACGTTTATTTGTGAATTAAAGTCATTTCCTTGAGTTTTCTTTGTAAGAAATAAGTAAGGAAAAATCTTTCACCTGTCTACACATTTTTCCATCAACCATAGTGGCATATCATTGATGATACTTTAATAATAAAGTAATTAAAGTTTTGTGTTAATTACTATTTACAAATAATTAAAAATGAAAAGTAGAAAATGAATTAAGCCAATAAATTTGATTGATTATATGAAGGAATAAACTCTTTTTATGATATTATAAAAAATTAAAATCCCTGAAAATAAGTGACTGAAAAAAAAGTTCCTTTGGGAGTTTTTATAGAAATATGAATAGTGCAAAAGGTTTCATATATTGGTGCAGTAGGTAAAAACTTGCAATCTCATGAAATTGAGTTTCAATTCTATTCATGGCTGATTATTGAACACTCAATAATTCAATCATCTCTGTAACACTAAGATCATCTCGACTCTTGATATGCCATGCTGACAGATAGATAAAGGCATGAACCCAATCTTGACTGTATTCAGTCTTATCAGCACCAAATGACCAAAATCTTGTGACTAGAATGCCATGATGGGCAAGAAATAAAAAGTGAGAGTGATGCTGAGGGAGTCACAACAATAGGCATAACAGTTTCCAAAATAAGGATCATACTAAGAAATAAGTGGCTGTTTAATCAGGATTATTGGAAAAAATCCCTCTTTTTAAAATAAAAATAAGGAAATGGATAAAAACTTTGTAGCCATTAATTTTTTGTTTTTTGATGAATTATTGTTAATGTTAGTATTTCTTCTTTATTATTATTTGTTATTAAGACATAATTTTGCAATATGATTTGGTTACTTAAACTATTTTATATTATTATCTTTAAATTTTGCTTTTGAAATATTTAAAAAATTATCATTATTATTATCAAATTGCAAAATCTTTTAAATTATTATTTTTATTACCATTATTATTACTAATTTAACCTGTGAAAATTTCAGTTTTCCTATTTGAAATTTCTGATGATAATGATTGAATAAATTTATAACAAGTTCTACTGCAATAAATTATCTGTAGAAATTTCTCTATCAATTTGTTAAATATTTGAGCTTAACAACTTTAACAAAATATTGTAATAACAATAAAAAATATGAATAATGGTTGTTATTTTAAGAAGTAAGGGAATATAAATTAAAAAAATTTAAATTGACAACTTTACCCATTTCATTGAAACAGAAGTTAAATAATTCTATCTTCCTTTCTTTCATTTTATCACTGAAACCAAGTAGGGTCTTTTGATATGGTTTTTGTCTTCTCAGGGATCAAAATGGAATCATCTATTATTTATGTGTTATTGGAAAGAGACATCTTTCTTTCTTTTTTTTTTTTTTACTGAAACCAAGTAGTTTCTCTGATACATCTTTTCTTTCCATGGGATCAAAACGGAATAGTAATGGGTGTAACAGTCATGCGAATTATGAAAGAAGTGACAAGCACAATTATTATAAGATTATTATTCAAAAGTTGTGAAATTTTTTAAAATAGTTATCATCATTACAATTATGATAAAATTGCAAACATTTCTAAATCATTATTATAAAATTAAATTTTACCTTTGAACTCATTCCTTCTCCAAATTATTATTATTCAATTTAGCATTTTATATATTTTTTAATTATAATAATATTATTGTTTTATAATTGTATTTGAAAATAATATTTTTCATTCCATTTTATTATTTTGAAAGAATTGAATTTTCTTATTTTACAAAAAAAAAATCCCTGAAATACAAAAAAAAATGTGATTTTAAATCCAACTGGAAAAATTATAGAATCACAGACACATTAGTTCTTATATATAGAGAGAAAATAACAGGTGGTGGGGTAATTAAGAATGGTAGCTCAATGAAATTAGATGTCTTACCTGTTACCTGGATTCCCATAAGCTGATTTTGTATATGCACTGGGGCACTGAACAATGGGACACTTGTAGCCACCACGGACGTTGATGCAAGTTGCATCATAATTTCTGCAGATACTAGGTGTTTCTTTGCATTCATCAATATCTTTAAAAAAAAAAAAATATTTTAAATTATTTTTTTTAATCATTTCACCCCCAGCAAGGTGATAGTCACTAAGACACAAGGTGTTACTGAGAGGGAGGGAAAGTGAGAAAACATTAGACAATTGATGTAGACTTTCAGAATTCAATGTCTCCCTTATTCAGAGCAAGGTTCGTATGATGGTGAAAAACTTTGAGCACATATCTTACATATCAAAACTAATGGAAACTCAGTGTTAGACTTGATGCTACTTTCTATGGGCAAATTCTCAAAACCTTTACGTAACAATTCATATAGATGAGGGCAGGGGCACTTCGATGTGGTGTAATGGTTAGCAAACTTTTCTCGCTAAATCAAATATGACTGAATAGTGATTTTGTTCCTCACAGTGTGCTCCATACTTCTGGCCTAATGCCACATCTATGCTATGTTTAAAAAAAATCACCACATAGATGAGGGCAGTGGCTGAAAAGTCCTTGACCTGACTAACAAAAAAATTGTTTAGTTGTTTTTTTTTTATTTTTTACAATGATGTTCACCCTGTACAAAACCCAAGAGCCACTCAAGGTAGAGGTTTACAGAGTAAAAGGCAGACTTTATGTGGGGAAGATAACAGTTGACCCTAGACCTGAACAGGTTAAGATTATAGTGATCAGGGAAGCATCATCTTGGGAGTTGGTTCCACAAAGCAGTGGTTCATGAGAAGCTGCTCAAGTGGAACTTACATCTCACCATTGAGAGGATGAGGGCTGTTCACTACAATGGGCATGGCATGGCATGGCAGGTCTTAACAGTGAAGGTAGTTTGTCTGAGAAGTTTCCATGGAAATAGTGATAGGGCAGAGAGAGATAGAGAGAGACTTGTGACATTTCATCTGTAAGAAAAGGGACTGCAGGGTGCAAAATAATTCATCACCCACAAGGATGCGGAGACACTTTTGGACTATCATGACTGGAAAGTGAAGACTGTGCAGCTCCTGCCCACATATGGTAGCAGTACACCATTTTCAACTTTATCTGGCTTATGTAGAGGATAGCAGGAAGAATCGGGTACTTACTGGAGCGGTACAGGGAACTGACCATTTTTCCAGCATCTTTAGCAATGAATTCCACTTGAGGTCAGCATTGGGCCTCAGAGGACTGGCTGTTAATAAACTATCTTCAGGGACCTACCCGTTAGGAAGGTTATTATAACTGAGAAAACTCTTCCCATGATTCCATAGCTAAAGAGCTTGTGCAGTAACCCTTTATGCCACACCTTATCAAAGGCCTTTGAAATATCTGATGTGATCGTCCTTGAGACAATATTTGTTGTCTAGTGCCTCACTGATTCTGTAAGTAATGGCACTTTGGATATCATCAGGCATTGATCAAAACCTGTACTGTGTCACTCAAAAGGTTGTCCTTATTGAGGTGATCAACAATTCCTCTTGTTAACTGATTTGGTCAGATTTTGATAACTGGGCTGAACCAAGAACATTTTGACATCCCCCCCCTTCTCTCTCTCTGTACATACATAGACTTTTTATTACTTAAACATTATATGTCAGCTGACACACATGTTTAAGTAGAATCCTTGTTCTTTTTGTTTTTGTTTTTTTTCTTAGGAGTGTGAATTACATCTACTGGCCTGTACATTTAAGAATTTTAATAAGCATCTTCTTTTTCATGTAGGAATCTACTATGAAAAGGAGATCTGACATACTTTAGTCCACTCAGCCACAGAAATCTTCACAGCTAGAAAGGTTCAATTACCCTTTATAGGAATGCATATCTTCCCATTCATGGGCTAACTTTACTTTTGTATCCAAAACCTAAAGTAATTTCTAAGGAAACCAATGGATTTTATTTTATTTTTAATCCAACATATTTTTCTATGATTAAAGTAATAAGATATATATTGGAATAAATATAAATATTAAAACTGATTTAAATATAAAATCTATTGATTCTAAGAAATTATATATATAGATATATATTAAAAAAAAAATTTGTACCACAGAATTTATATATGCTTTTGAAAATGACAGAAGGAATCTTTTTTTATCCAATACTTCTTTAGAAAGATTCATTGCAACAACAATAATCAAAATGGTGAAACTCCAAAAGGTAAACTCAAGAGTTGTGGGGGGAGCATTGTCATTTTTAGTAATAAATTTTTTTTAGCTCCTTATTTACTGTGTTTACCTTTTTCAGTTTCGTTGTTTTGATTATTGTTGTGTCAATGAATCTTACTGAAGAAGTGTTGGCCAAAAAAGTTTCCTTTCAAAGAATGCATTCTATCATTTTCAAAAATAAAATTATATATAGCCTAATTTCATTTGCAAGGCTTGGGTGAACATGTGGTATGGTTTACAGGCACTTTCCAAAGGTGCTGAATGCCGAGATTGCCTTCCCAGGCTGATAATTTCAAGAAGTCATCTTCCTGACAAATCGACCATACTGAGATTTGAACCCTGGTCTGAACGTCAGAAAATGAACATTCTAACCACTTGGCCATAGAAATTGGTTAGATGGAATTGTTCAAAGTCCATTTGATAATTGTGCTAGCACAAAGTTACAAGTTATCATGACCAAAGGTTTGAGCATACTGGCTTTGTTCAATGTTGATTGTGTCAGATGATGTGCTCTCTCCCAGAAAATATAAATAAGGTCCTCTCAGTCTAGTTGCTTTAAAAACTACATGTGGGTGTTGAACAAATAGAAATGTGCCTGAGTAGGGGTCTGCTAAAACTCCCTTGCAGATGGATGTGCTTGGAAAATGAGTAGCCAACCATTATGTATTTTGAGAAAGAGGCAATTATCCTTCATTAATGCAAATTCGATTAAAGACAATAAGCAAGCAATGCTTATTTTTGTTTTGTCAATTTTTCTTTGTTACAGGCAAGAGGGCACATTTCTGGATCAAATTAATGTAAATTCATTTATTTTTTATTGACTGGTTCTCGATTTGTTTTTCAAATTTATTTTTTGAATTGATTCATTTTTCAAATTCCTCTTAAGAAAAAAAACAATCCTCCTGAGACATGCAAATATTTTAAGCAGCTCTTCTGCTTTAAATAAAGATGTGGAAGTTTAGCTCTCACCTAAACAAGATTTCTGGTCTGATGCCATTCGGAAACCAGAAGGACAACTGCACTGGAAAGAACCGGGCAAATTTTGGCATTGGTATGAACATTGTTTATATGGATCAGCACATTCATCAACATCTGGAATAAGCAAAATATGGTGAATAATTCTAAGAGCTACTGCATTTCAACACATCTATATTGGTCATGTATTTATTTGCATGGAGGTACATGTATAAATAAACAATCTTTACCTGTCATTGTTTTCTGATGACAAATAAACCTTGAAATATAAATAAAATCAACAATGTACACTTGCTTGCTAATCAAATATTGATTACTTATAAGTGTTTTTTTTACTTTACACACCTAAACACATTGACTGCTTAAATGTAGTCAGGTACTGAGGTTGGTTTTGTCCTGTATATATATATATATATATATATATATATATATATAATGAATTTAAACTGTTTAGTGTTCATTATTTTTTTTTGTTTTGAACCTAGACAGCTTTTGGCTAACACTTCACCAGGGACCAGTGTTGACAAAGTTATAGTATCAAAATTGGTGTGAGAAAATATGTAATATGGAGGAAAATTATAAAAAATAAATTCATGATTAAAATATATATATATATATATATATTAAAAAGAAAAGGTTTTTGGTTCTAATAAGAGAGAAACCATAAATGTTTTGTGTGTGTGTGTGTACTGATTCCTTGTAACAGGACGGTATGTGTGGGTGTACAGATGTGTTCACTGATTCCTCGTAGTGAGACAGTGTGTATGTATGGAGAGGGGATATATACACACATGCTGGCAAAAAACACACAAAAATGGAAATAGATCTAAGAACGCACAGGGGTCATTAAAAGATAAGAAACTACTCCATCATTTTTCAGACCAATCTTAATTGCTTTATAACCCTTCATGCAAAACTTTTCACTGCCAGTTCAAGAAAGACGTTTGGATCACTAACACAAAAAAGAATGTCTCATATCGAGAATATTTAACATCGAAAAACAAAGAAAAAAAATTAATTATTTTTAATAATATGTGGAAATCTCCACCCTTTGCCTGATGACGGTCATGAGACCAGAAACTCGTGTAGAAAAATTATGGAAAATAAAGCATAATATTTTTTTGAAAATCCACATTACAACCAAAAACGTTTATGGTTTCTCTCTTCTTTTTAATATACACACTTTTCTCTTGTCGGAATTACTATAACCTCTTCCTTTTATATATATATATATATATATATATATATATATATATAGTTTTAAGGTATGCAATATTTAAGGGTAAAATTGAAGATAATGACATTTTTGTCTTCCAATATTTCCACCATCATATCTCATATTAGCTGCTCTAAAGAGAGCCCTTTTTAGATTCCTTTGAGATAACAGAATTACCATAATGCATCAGAAAGTCTATTACCATCATTTTTCCCAAGGATAGTCTATGGATACAAAATATCAAAAAATCCATCTATATTTCTGAGATGAGATATTGTAACTATTTACACTGTTTGGACTGTTGTCCTCGTATTTATTGTCATATTTACAAAATTTTGGCCGTTGTATGGCCCGGCCTTCTTCAAGACCACATGGCCCAGTGGATAAAAGCATTGATTGAAGTAATCCAAAAGTGACTTGAACCAAAGAGTTGTGAGTTCAATACCTGGCCACAGCAGAGGTGAAAAAAAACTTGGAGAGTTGAGTTACTAAAGGGAATTAACTGAAACTGAGATATTCAGAAAAGGCATGGCATGTAGAATTAGAACAATCTACCTAGGTGGACTAAATAAAGGGTTCAGTTTGAAATTCCAATGTATATCACCTGAAGAAGGCCAGAGCATACAGCAGCCAAAATTTTGTAAATATGGCAATAAAGATGAGGACAACAGTCCAAACAATGTAAATAATGAAAAAATCCATTAATATACTTTATGACTACATTTCTTAAGTGAACACAGAATGACAATAACAGAAGATTCTGGAAAGAAGATGCCAAGAAAAGATTTTTGACTTTTGAGAATTGTGCGCTTGAATACCTTGAATGCTATTGACTTTTAAGAATAATATATATTTTTTATTTCCATCCTACAAAGTTTTTTTCTTTATACATTTGAAGTAATTTTATATATCATTTAAAATAGGAACATACATAATAATGAAATCTTAAAATTGAATTTTCCAATCTCATTTCTATGTACATTATTTGCATTTGGAAAAGGCATGAAGTCACTTCTCCCTTTATACCATCCTGCTGCTAGTTATCTTTATAAAGATGTCTTGTTACAGTAACGTTACAATAGCTACTTGTTCAGATAGCATTTACTCTATTGTTGCACTTGTTTGGGGCTAATCAACGTATGTATGCAGTCTGGCACAAAGCCAACTGGTAAAAAACAGAGGCAAGATGATTCTCTTGTACTAATGTTTGAATTAAGGAAGGCCTTGAAAGTTAGCATTTGAAATGATGGTGTTTAACCTCTTCACTGATGTAGACATGTATATATACATTTTTACCAAAAGTGTCTTTTTCAGATATGTTTTGGCTGTGTGTTTTTGTCCATAACGTTTAAAAAACCATCTCGAGGCATGTTTATACATCAAACTTGATTCTTTTTATGCCTTTCTGAGCATGAAACAAGTTCAATTGTCAACTCATTCATTTATTAGAGAAGTTAATCATCAGTATCTGTCTATATTTCTGAGATGAGGTATTATGTACATTATTTACATTATTCGGACTTTTGTCCTCATCTTTGTTGCCATATTTATTACAACGTTTCGGCCCTTCAGTATCTGCCTATATTTCTGAGATGAGGTATTATGTACACTATTTACATTATTCGGAGCATTGTCCTCATCTTTGTCACCATAGACATTAGGTTTATAAGTCCCAGAAATTCATACGTAGATGTCCTCAAGTGATGGCACAGTGAATAAAAGCGTTGGTTAGATCCAGTAATAAGACCCAAAGAGTGTGAGTTCAATACCCGGTTAAGGCAGTGGAGAACTTGGAGAGGGGAATTAACAGGAGATAACTGATATCCATTAAACATGGCATGTGTAACGAGAACAGTCTACCCCAGTGAGTGAAATAAGGGGTTCAGTTCAACCACCTGAAGAAGGCCAGAGTGTACAACAGCTGAAACATTGTAATAAATATGGCAACAAAGATGAGGACAATAGTCCCAATAATGTAAATAGTGTGTTAACCATCACTCGGGTACTTCAAGGTGCCTCAGTTTCTTAGTTACTATAATAAAAACAAATAAAACAATTCATCTGATAATAAAACACTTTTCCCAAAATAATCGGTGGAGAAAGGATTAAATGGTGCTCAAGCATTTACAGTCATACACAGTCCAAAGATATGTGTATATAAAAGTCTAAACAAAAGAAGAGACTTACCTTGACATGACCTTCTGTTAAGGGAAAGCTCATAACCTGTTTCACATGAGCATTTGAAAGATCCTAGTGTATTTTGGCAATGATGATCACATGGATTCTGCATGGAACATTCATCAATGTCTAATAACAAAAAGTAAATCTAATCACACATTCATGATATCAAATAAAAGAAACAAAATAATTGGAAGGAAAAAAGAAATAGACAAAAGTAAGATACAACTTTGAGAAATGATGCCTGACAATCTAAATTACGCAGTCACTTGTATCCAAGGATTTCCATCTACTAGGGTGGCTAGCCAATCCCTGTTGCAGACGCCTGCTCAGGCACATTTGTGTTTGTTCAACACCCACAGAGCCCATCAGTCGTTTATACTGCAGCTTTCTGGGAGAGAGTATGATTATCTGGCATGATCAACAGTCTGTACAAGGTCAGCATCCTCAAACCCTCGGTCAGAATGACTTATGGCTTTGTGCCAGCACAACCATCAATGGCTCCCAAAGAGTTCCATCTACCCAATTTCAAACACAAGGCTTGGATCAACCCTTGGTATGGTTTTCAGGCACTTTCCAAAGGTGCTGCACACTGGGATTGCCTCTTCCAGACCGAGGGCATCAAGAAGTCACCTTCCTGACAAATTGCTCATGCTGAGATTTGAACCTGGGTCTCATGGTCAGAAAGTGAATGTTTTAGCCACTCAACCATGTTTTCTGGTAATAAAAACGCATTAATCAAAATGCACAAACATTTATTTTGTTTAACTTTTTATCACATTTTTTAAATTGATTCTTTTTTTTTTAATCATTTCACCCTAAGCAAGGAAATAATGCCACTAAGGTGCAAGGGGTGTGAAAGAGAATAAAAATTATTTAAAAGGAACCAGAAATCTAATCTTAAACAGGAAATACAGGATAAACCTCTGCTCCTGTTCAAAATCTGAGAAGGAGTGTGAAAATTTCTTTTTTTATAGCTTATTAACCCTTTGTGGGTTAATCTAAAGCTAAAAAGCTTTTGGATTGTAAGACTAATTAATTTTTGTGAAACAAATTTTTTTTGAGATAAAAAATGATTTTTTCATGAACAATTTCTAAAAAATTGTGAAACTCTATATAAACCTAATCTTTTATCTGTGAATTTCACCGTAATTTATAAAGCTCATTAACATCTTTATTGTTAAAGTACAGGGATGAATATTTTCACAGGTTCACTTGTTAAACACCAAATGATTTTATTTATGTAATGTCCCCTTTTTGAAAAATCACACCTTGTTTGCATTTTGTCCTTTTCATATTGCTGTGACTAATGTGATTTCCATTTATATTTATTTCAGGAGAAATACCATTTTGGCCTGCAAATGACATGCTGAAGCTGCTAAAAATTTCAAAGGTTGTGGAAGGCAACTCCTTTTTCCTCAGAAAAACTCAAAAAGTAAAGTGATTTCAAATGTTTGTTTTAAAAAGAACAGAGAGAAAAATGAAAAAAAAAAAAAAAAAAAATTTCTCAAGTTGGGCATTTCACCTTTGCATTGTCTGCTAGTTCCAATAGACTCGTATCCTGCCTTGCATTCACATCTGAAACTTCCAGGCGTATTAATACAGTTGGCATTTCGGGGACAATATCGGCGATGGTGACTGCACTCATTAATATCTGGGTGAGAAAAAATGGGAACATAAACAGAAATTAATGACTACAATGTTTTTTTTTTTAACATAAATAATGAATCTGCTTAAAAATCACATGCCTTGACACAGTTAATTATTGTTACAAACAAAATCTGAAAACAAATAAAACTATGTCCTCCAGGAATTTAAAAGTTGGATTTATTTTGTTTTACAGCATATCAAACTCAATAGGTCAGGTTTCATTGACATATTTTGTAATAAGGATTTTGTCGAGAGTCAAATGTATTGCTGGTAATATATATTTTTTTCAAAAATGTATTGGTGGTATTTCTACTATAAGAAACTATTTTTATATTTTCATGGTGTTTTGACCCCAGTTAACTATTTGCCCTTAGCTGGGACCCCAACAGGTGCCACCACCCTTGGTAAGAGTGGACCTGGGAACAACAGCAATTAAGAATTGGTTTCATGCCCCTCAAAACCTCCTGATCAGAGGACTTGTTGCCAAATGTAGTTTATCATCATACTGAGGACTACAAGAATTTAAAGATCTTGTAAAATTCAGTAATATCAGCAAAATAAATATAATAGATAATTAACAATGAAAGATCAAGATAAGAATTTGTTTCTAAGAGGTTTCCCCCCCCCCTTTGACAAACAAAAGAAAATCATTTCCAGAAAGAGGCCGTCCTGAGAATGACGATAAACTACATTCGACTGCAAGGTCTCTGTTCAGGAGGTTTTGAGGAGCATGGAACTACCTCTTAATTGCTGGTGTTCTCAGGTCCAGTCTGACCTGGAGTGGTAGCACCTGTTGGGGTCCAAGCTATGGGCAAATAGTTAATCTCTAAACAAAAGTCAAAATACTATGAAATTGTAAAAATAGGTTTTAATAACAGAAATATTTTGTAAAAGGTAATAAATTTTTGAAGGAAAAAATTATTACCTGCTATACATTTTGGAAAAATAATATTACAAGTAATATATTTTTGAAGAAAAAAATATTACCAGTAATAGATTTTTGAAGGAAAAAAATTATTACCAGCAATACATTTTTGGAAAAAAACAATATTACAAGCAGTAAAAATTTTGTCAGCATTAAATAACCCATTGAGGTTAATATGCCATAAAACAACCAAACCAAACCAGAAAGAGGATTTGTAAAATTTAAAAGCACAACCAAGAATGGATGAAAATGCAGGCTGAATTTTAAGTGATGATTGAACTCTCTTTGACAAATTTCAATTTTCCCAGTTGGAGTATTTCAGATAATCTAACAAATATCAAATATTTTTTTCTTCAAAATACACTGTTTTTAGTTACATAACAAATGAGTGTATTTTGAATAAAAGTTTGAGTACAATGTTACTACTGTTGAGATTCTTCTAGATCCACCATTCAGTCCCAGTGCTGATCCAAGTGACTATGGCCTATTCCGCTAAATGGCACATTTCCTCAGGGACCAGTGATTCAACATTTTTGATGAAGTGAAGGAAGCCAACAGACTGATGTTGGGGACAGATTTGAATGCTGGCTGATCACTGGCAGAAGATTATCAAGAATGATGGATGTTATTTTGAAGAATAAATGTTGGTGTTGCTCCATAAAATTTTGTTGCTTTCTTTTCCATGTCTTAAGCGAGTCAGGACTTTCTGGCTAACCATATACAGGGTGTCCATAAAGTTCGTGTTCACTTAAAAAATTTTTTGAAGTGTACACGAACTTTATGGACACACTGTATATATATATATATATATATATATATATATATATAGGGTGTCCATAAAGTTCGTGTGCACATTAAAAAATTTATAACTTTATTTGTATTTGCAATAGAAATAATCTGTAAAAAATGTTATAAAGTTTAATGTACCTAGTTTTAAGTATAGCTAAAATAACTGATTTCAGGCATTACTGTAAATCAGTTGGCAAAATCATATTACTCTTTGTATTGCTAATGATGGAGGACATGTAGAAACTTAAATAAAATTTCAATAAAACTTTAAAAAAATATAGATTTACTTCTTTCTAATCCTTTTTACAAATTATTTCTATCGCAAATATAAATAAAGTTATAAATTTTTAAAGTGAACACAAAATTTATGGACACCCTATATATATATATATATATATATATACACACACAGGGTGTGGCATAAATGCTGTTAAAAATTTCAAATGAATTCTACTTTTAAATTTTTGGTCATTACATTGTACTTTATGGCTTGATACACACCCAACAACAACATATACTATTTGCTATCTGTATATATTTCTGAGATGAGGTATTATGTACATTATTTACATTATTCAGACTATTGTCCTCATCTTTGTCGCCATATACAAGATAATCAATAGACAATTTCTTTCAACAGCCACAATGAAAAATAAGCTTTAAAGCAGTTTCTAAAATGGATTCATGATAGAATGCTGCAAAACATCACTGTTGAAAAGACTTTTTTTATCATCAAAATGGTTGTGCTCTTTCAACAAGTCGTCAAACAGTTCTTCATAAAAATGCCTCATAATCCAGAAAGCAGCATCAGTTTTGGTTTGGGCAGCCATTTCAGAAAGAGGAAAATCATCTCTTGTTTTCATGCCTCAAAGAATAAAGATCAACAAGGAAGTGTACATAGAGGACATCTTGGAAGGTGTACTTAAACCACAGTGCAATGCTGTGCTTATAGTGATGAACATTATATACTTCAACAAGATGGAGTGATGAGCCATACTACTCATGCTATATGGCAGTGGTGCAGAGACAAATAAAAATGGCCTCCTTCATCATCAAATATCAATGTTCTTGTCATGTTTGTGAGTAGTTCTCAAGAGTGAGGCTTGTTCTACTCTATACCACAATATTGAAGCTCTCAAGACAAAATTGATGAGAGTCTGGGACAAAATACCGCTGGAAAGTGTGCATGTTGCCATCAATGACTTCCCAAAAAATTTTAACGTGTGGTAAAGGCTAAAGGGAATCATATTGAATGAGATTTTCTGGTATTATTTAGCAGATTAATATTTATTTTGTATTAAAATTGTATGTAGATATAATAAATTATTTGTGGGGGGGTGATTATGAGATTTTATTTTCTATACTGATATTTATACCACACCTTGTGTGTGTGTGTGTGTGTGCGCGTATATATATATATGACGAGTGTAACAGCAAAATTGTCCAATTGTTAGATTAAGCACTGAACTGTTGTATCTTAGAAATGATTAAAGATATCTTACTGGAATTCTCTGAGGCTTTTGTAATACTATTAGACTTTACTTTGGGCAATAAAAATCTATAATTACTTTCTAAGCTTAATAGAAGTATCATGATAAAATTGATCTTAAAGAAAAATGACCTGTTCATCATTAATTAATCATGGCTAAGGATCAGAAGCTCATAAAATATTGAATAAAGTCCATATATATATATATATATATATATTCTAGGATCATTTTCTAACTTATTCAAGATGATCTTCACCCAACTCAATTCATAAGGCATTTGGCATGTGACAGAGGAGTTTCAGCTATGACAGTCGAAGGAGTTAAAATGTTCTCTAACATTCTAAATTTCTGTCCTGGAGTAACAAGTTGCCTCACAGGCTTCATGTATGATTTTATTTTCAAGTCTTTTTTAACTCTTCCTTTGACTGTCATAGCTGAAACTCCTCTGTCACATGCCAAACGGCTTATGAATTGAGTTGGATCTTTTCTAATTAATCCCTTTCTCTAAGTTGAAATGATGATCCCTCTTTCTGTTGTGACCTTCTGATCCACTTTTCCTCTTGATGATTCTTGAATGGAAGCCAGAGTATGAATGTTGGTGTCATTACTGAAGGCCATAATGATTTTTTCCCTCTCACCATTGCTCACATGGTCAGTGAGGCTGACACAAAATTATTTTCACCTGTTCTTTTTCTAATTGAATAACTCAAAGGGTTTTTCAGTGATTTTTACGATAAATGGTGTCATGATGGCTAAATGTCTTATCTGAAAACCTGGAAAAAAGATACTCAATTAGTTTAGTGTTTTTTTTTTTAGGTATTAAACATTTTGTGGGATGGATAATTATGTTAGGTAATTATGCTGATAATTATTATAGTTATATACAATTATATATATATATATATATATATATATATATATATATATATACAATTTACATTTTTTGGGATGGATAATTATGATGTGACATGATTTGGACAATTTTGCTTTTATACCCAGTATGTATGTATATTATGCTGATAATTATATATATATATATATATATATATATATATATACAAATTACATTTATTTACTTTTATAATGAATAGGTTTTTTTTTATTTTAAAAAAATTTGAGAAAATGTTATTCCTTTTATAATAACTACCAATATTTTCATGACTAAAGTTTTACAAAGATTCCAACACAACACAAACAGGATTGTCTGAAAAATTTGTTTTAAAAACAGTATTTCAGTTTTCAGAAAAATTTTAAAAATCTTTAAACATTTTTATTTTTTAAGCAATCATTTTCTCAGTTTTATCTTTCTAGAAATGTAAAAGATAGGGACTAGAAATTTTATTTTAATTACTAGCCATGGACTTCTGGTTACTTAGTAAAAAAAAAAAAAAAAATCAGAGATCCTACTTAGTGGACGATCTAAAAATAATATATTCCCCCTCTTAATTGATTTAAAAGAACTGTTCAGAAAGAAAATTACAATTTAAAAAAAAAAGTACTACTGAAATTATCACTTTTGCATCCCCCTCCACCTTCCCAGTAAGCATAGGGCCCCCACGTGGTTGAGAGGTTCAGGGTAGTAAACACCAGCCCTGTAGGCTATTATAGTTGATAATTGACAATATCAACTTAGTATCTGTCTATATCTTTGAGATGAGGTATTATGATTATTTGCATTATTTACATTATCATCATTTTCATTGTCATATTCACAATGTTTCAGCCATTGTACACTCCAGCCTTCTTCAGGTGATTGGAATTTCAGTGGCTGAAATAAAGGGTTCAGTTCAAAATTCCATTTACCTGAAGAAGGCTGGAGCATACAATAGCTGAAACGTTGTGAATATGGCAATAAAGATAAGGATAACAGTCTGAATAATGTAAATAATGCAAGTAATATAACTTAGGTAGAAAAAAATAAAAAGTACAAAAAGAAAAACAATGCTTCTGAAACTAGCCCTTTTGGGGCTTCAACCTCGTCGGGGGGGGGGGGGGTTCCTGCTTAGTACACATTGCACTGGCCCTGCAGATACATGATGTATATTATTAGTTGATGACTGACAATGTAACATCAATTTAAAAATAATAAAAAAATATGATGGATGGCCATAAAATAGTGCTGAAAAAAATGGCAGAGGCCAAAATGGGGGCTCCAAAAATGCAGAAGGTTGGGGTAAGACGCACTGGCCCAGAATGCAACACGTGGGCACTTTATTGCTACAAATTACTGCACTTCACTCTTAAGCAAAATTCTAGCAAAAGAGAATTTTACATTGCAATAAGACAATAAAGTCAAACGTTCTCAGCTTTTCCAATTTATTTTGCTTCCAATTTTTGTCTCTGATATTAAAATCTGGTTTGACAGAATAAAAATGTTCTGCCAGATTCCTAATGATGCCCAAACTTCTTTTTTCAAAAGAAAGATTCATGGTTAAAGTATGGGACGTTCTGGTAGTGTAACAACTATCAGCACGGTCAAAGGTCAATTGTTATCTATCCTGCTTATCCTCATAATCTTCACTTTCTAAAATCTTTCATTCATATCACATTTGTTATTGTCTTACAGTCACATCAGGTTGAAACACCTGTTCCCATATGATCACCAAAGTTAAGCAATATTGAGCTAGGTCAGTGCCTAGATGGGTGACCGCTTGGGAATATCACATACTGGTGATATAATGAATGATATATTAGAATTGTTAATCAGAGAGCTGAGTTCTGATTCCAGTTGATATATTAATTTATGCACTTACCCTTGGGAAAAGTATGAATTCACTTCTTCCCTAGCTATGGGTTAATTAGTAAGACTTGTATCACTAAAACCATTATTATCAAAATATTTAGATTTCAGCATTAAATAGCCGATAGAGGTTGATATGCTGCTAAACAAAAACAACCAAAAATCATTCATCATTGCCATTTTAACAGTAACCTTCTTTTTGAGTGACTCTCAAGCCTTGTATTAGGTGAATTCTAGTATTAAAAAAGTTCAATTTCCTACCTAGTCTACTGCATTCACTCTTGAATAAATGATCTTGAAAAAGGCATAAGTTCATCTTTTTTTCCTCTCAGCTAAGAGTTAAATAGAAGGGTAGACTGGGCTCTCTAGCTTCAGATGGTAACAAGGAAAACTCTGAATTTTAAATGATAAAGAAAGCAATGAGGAACCACTCAACTATCTTTCCCAAAAAGTCATGGCAATTCAGAGATAATAAAAAGAAGTCTGTGGAAAGCTGTGATCTCCAACATCCTGAAGGAAAATGGCATTTAAAATAAAAGTGGATAAAGTAAAATAAAGCTTACCTTCACAGAACCCATTGGATAATGCTAAATATCCAGCTAAGCAGTCACATTCAAAACCTCCAGGTGTATTTCGACATACTTGGTTGGAGTGACAGGTGTGATTACCTGCAGCACATTCGTCAATATCTGAAATTAATCACAGATTATCAACCAAAAGTATTAATAATATTGATTCTTTGCTGAAATTCCCTGGAAAAGAGAATAGTTGAGTTTTAATTATTTTGATATCCATTGCATGATGACTGCTTTTTTTGACAATGACTCATAAAACCATATTTTTAAATCAGTTAATTTATTTTATATATATATATATATATGTGTGTGTGTGTGTGAAAGATTTCTTAACTTTTAAATATCAATTTTATCTTGACATCGATGTTTCTTAGTAAAATTCCCAGTTTTCAGGGGTTGTGGTTTTAAACGGTATTTCCAACTTTTTCAATATATATATATATATATATATATATATAGTCTGAGAATTATTTATTTTAGATATTATCAAAATTGGTACACATCATTAGTTGGGAACCTATAGTTGGATTTTGGCACCTTTTCATGAAGACATGACGTAGGTGGGTGTACAGTTATAACCCAATTGATATCATATGTTGCAACTACTTGTGCATATTGGTTATATTAGTATATTTGCTATAGTAAATCTACTATTCTACTTTTGATTGCATAATAAAAAGAGGATACCCTCATACACACAATTATATGCACGCATATACACAGAGGAACTGCTGGCCATTTGGTCAGATTTTGGGAAGTAGGTGGGGCAGATACCATTTCCCCATACCCCACATGTGTGTATATATATATATATATATATATATATATATATATATTTCCTGTTTAGGGTTGGATTTCCAGTTCCTTCTGAAGTCTGCTTCAGTTTTGTATTCGTAACATCTGAAACTGAATTTTATTCACTATTTATTTGATTTTGTTTTTTTTTTTTTCACTCCTCCACAAACAGGAATAGATAGGTTTGCCTATCATCCGGTTCACACTTCTCCCTGATCTTTTGAACAGGAGTAGAGGTTTATCCCTTGCTTCTTTTGAGGATTGAGTTTCTGGTTCCTTCTAAAGTTTGTTTCAGCTCTGTACTCCTAATGTCTACACCTGAACTCTGAAATTTTATCCACTATTTCCTTTTATTTTTTTCTCTCTTCTACCAATAGGAATAGAGTAGAGGTTCAATCCTTGTTTCAGGTTTAGGATTAGGTTTCCAGTTTCTTCTAAAGTGTGTTTAACTCTGTACTTCTAAAGTTTGTCTTTTTCTCACTAATATAAGGCCACACAGTAACTTTCTACCTTGAGTGGCTCTTGGACCTTGTATTCAGCAAACATTAGTAAGAAAACAATATATATATATATATATATATATATATATATATATGAAAGAATATAGTCTTAAGGAGTGTTATATTTATGGGATAAAGTGCTCAATATCAGAGACAGAGCGTGTGTAAATATAAAAGTGAACATTTAAGTCAACACTTAGAGGCGACAGTCTGTTTCATTCTTACTAAAGCCACGATAATACATCCAAGTCTTTATGTAGTCCTAACAAGTTCCCAAAGAGGAAAGCAATATTTATTTTGATATAATACAAAAATGTGGCACAAGGCCAAAAGGGGCGATAGGGGAAGAGTTGTCTTCAATCTGTCTTATCTTAAACTTAGCTAGCCACAATTGTGTCTAGCATGAAACAGACTGTCACCTCTAAGTGTTGACTTCAATGTTCACTTATATATATATATATATATATATATATAGACACTGATGTAGCATGTCATGGGTTACTGGTTAGTATAATGTTTCTTTCTAACCTGACAAGATGAAGTAACTCAAAATGGTATCAATTCCACAAGTGGTTGGAAGACCTCTGGAGAGATATTGAACCATGCATCTCCAAAACATTTCTGAAGTAAATTCTGCACAACTTGGGCCCAATTACAAGGAATTGCAGAAATAACCCATCTTTATTAGAGCATATCCAGTCCATGACTGACTACAAATAGTCACAATCGAAAAGTTACATTATAAACTGATGCATATAAGACAGCAGTTATGATTTAGTATTAAACATTGATCAGTGAAGATCAAACAGACAGAGACCAAATGTTGATTAAAGGTAGAGGAAATAGATAAAGTTAAAAAAAGATACCTTTGCAGCGGGACCCTACATCATCGTACCATAATCCTGGTCCACAAGAAATTGTATTACTGCATTGATATGATCCTCTGGTGTTATGACACACTTGATGAAGTCCACATTGGTCAACACGTTCAGTACATTCATTAATATCTGAAAAAATTAAAAAGATTAATAGATATTTTCAAATATTACTAAAATATTTCTTTGCTCATAGATCCCAGTCTCAAATGACTCTTCATCTGTAGATCCTAGCCCCAAATGTCCCCTTTAGATCCCAATCCCAAATGACTCTTCATCTGTAGATCTTAGCCCCAAATGTCCCCTTCCCTATAGATTCCAACTGCAAATAGGGCCTCACATGTAAATCCTAGCCCCAAATGTTCCCTCATCTGTAGATCCTAGCCCCAAATGTCCTCCCATCCGTAAATCCTAGTCTCAAATGTCCCCTTCCTTATAGATCCCAACCTCAAATGTCTCTTACCACCAAACATCTACTTGCCAATTGATCTCAGCACAAAAGATCTTCTTTCCTGCAGATCACAATTTAAAATCATTGTAATGACAATGAATGTTCCTCATATTATTTCATTTACTGATTGATGAGAATTTTCAAAGGTTTTTCTTGTGGCTATTATGTGAAGGTTAGCAGAAGAAATGAAAAATCAAAAAAGAAAATTATTCACATAATTTTAATTAAGCAAAAATTTGAAAGTAAATTTATATTTTGAATGGCATTTTGCTATGAGGGTTTAACTGAGTAAGATCTTGGTTGAAACAATCCTTTGAAAGTCTTGTAGTGTTAAGACTATTTAATAAAAGGAGATGAGAAAAATTCTGAAGATTAGATCTAGCAGAGATTGATGAAGGAAAGAACCAATTAAAAATCTTAATTATGTCCCATAAGTGAATGTTATTAACAAGTTCAAATGTTGGTTTAACTAACAAGATTGAATAAAGCATAGAAATGAATGCAATATGGAAACTAGTAATAAGGAGTGCCAGAGAAAAGCGATAATAACAACAAAAATTGCAATATGAGTTCTAGTAAAAAAACATGTAATGATAACAGCAAAAATTGCAATATGAGCACTGGTAAAAACTGAAGGTGAAGACATTAGGTTTATAATACCCAGAAATTCATACCCAGATGTCCTCAAGGACACATGGCACAGTGGATAAAGTTGTTGGTTAGAGTGTGAGTTCAATACCCAGTTAAGGCAGTGGAGAACTTTCAGAGGGAAAATTAACAGGAGATAAAACATGGCACGTGGAAGTAGAACAGTCTACCCCAGTGAGCAAAATAAAGAGTTCAGTTCGACATTCCAACCACCTGAAGAAGGCCAGAGTGAACAATGGCCAAAACGTTGTGATAAATATGGCAACAAAGATGAGGACAATAGTCCGAATAATGTAAATACTGTACATAATACCTCATCTCAGAAATATAGACAGACTCTCAGTCAATTCTACATAGGATTTGACCCTTTCTATAATTTGCTGTGTTTTGACCATTTGTCAGCATTAAGGCCATCTGGTTTTCAGGTACTGAAGCAATCTTGGGAAATTGGGATTAATTGCAAGAAAGCTAAAGGCAAAGAGATGCATATGGGATGAGTGTGGAAAGTTAAGTTGATTATGAATGAACACACAGACACAATTACTACATTGCAGTATACGACAGCAAAATTCCACAAGACTCAGTTTCTTTGACATTTTAGCTATTCATATCCTTATGATAAACAAAAAAGTTATTTCTTTTCAGTTAAAGAAACAATAGGTTGAAGAATCCACTTCTTGGGCACAGATAATCTGCCAATTTATCTTCTATTAGGACAGAAGAAAACTACTACTCTTGATCAAAGGTGTTGGAATTAATAACTGCAGTCCTGCACAAGTTCATAAAAGTAATGGTTAAGGAGCTAGTCTAAATAATCATTTCTGCTGTAGAGTGAGTTCCATCTTTATATGGTGCCTGTATATTGTGGATGTGTGTCAAACTAACCTATGCATAGTAAATAACGAACAATATTTTAGGAATTTTTCTCTCATAGAACATTCTGTCATCCAATCTTATGTGTAATTTGAATGCAGGAAGTGTCAGTGTGTAGGCTTGGGGTTATAATTATTCCAAAAGGGTTTATAACTGTAGAAATGATTTTGACTTGAGATTAATTTTACAGCCCAAACGTCACCCAAAAGTCAGAAAAAGAAGAACATACCAACACAGATTCCATTTTTAATCCAAAACCCTGGATCACATGTTTCTCTGGACTGACTTTCACATGTTTCTGTTTGTGAATTGAAAATGGAACCCGCTGGGCATGGAGTTGAATGAGATGGCATTTCACAGCGAAAAGATCCTTGAATATTTTTGCATCTGGAAGTTCCACAATTATGAACACCTTGGGCACATTCATCAATATCTGATTAGAAGAAGGAAAGAAAACAGGAATTAATAATAAAAAATGTTTGTTTTCATGCCTTTAAACAATTTCTTGACGGCACATATTATTACATATATAGATACATGTTTACTGTAAAAGTTATTAGCATAAAAAGTGAGACTGGGGTGTTGAGTTCAAATTACAGTCAAGGTTGTTGCATTCATTTTCATGCAAATAACTTTGGAAAGGGTATGAATCCATCTCTTCATTTTCCAGCTATGGGTTGAACAACAGTGCAGACTGGGCTCACTAGCTTTGGTTGACAACAAATGTCAACTCCTGTCTCCCAATCTTAGCCCCAAATGTCCCCTTATCTGTTGATTCTAGTGCCAAATATATGATAACTCAGTGTTCCAAACTAGTTGATCATAGGGAAAGCAATTCCACCGCATAAAAACCCTACTTGATATGAAAAACACAACAAGAACAGGCTTATGCCTACATCACATTTAAACATCAGTTCCAGTACAATCATCGAAGATAAGCAATGTTGAGCTTGGTCAGTACCTAGATGGGTGACTGCTTGGGAATACCAGTTGCTGTAAGTTTGGATGTGCAAGTGACATAATGTTTAATGGCTTAGTTAATTGGAGATCCCAGTTCCAATTCTTGTTGGGTTCATTATATTCACTTATGTACAAATACTCTTGGGAAAGGTATGACTCCACCTATACTCCCCACCAGCTATGGGTTAATTAGAATTGTAACACTAAAACATTATTATCTCCCCCACCCAAATTCTTACAATCTAAAAATATTTTCTAGCTATAAAAAACCTGCAAAGGGTCGATAAGCTATAGAAAATGAATGAATCAATCAAAGACCAGTTATCTAAATGTAGAAACTTCTGGACACAGTCCACGATAAACAATTATTTTCATAAAAGAGATTTTTAAGAATAAAAATAAAACTTTAAGCAAGTTTTATTGATTATTGTCATATATATTAATTTAAAATCATTAATTTTAAAAGTAATATTAATGAGCATTAATTTTGATAATTTCAAATAATCTATAAAAAATCTGGTAATATTTTTACAAAATCTTAAGAGGAATTTGGTTTAAAAAAAAACTGAAAACTGAAAATAGCATTCAACACTTGTTTTACAGCAAACCTATAAGTAGAAGGGTTGTGGAGGTCATGAAATTCAAATACATATGGAAACACATAAGTAATGAATTGTGCTCTATAGTGCTCAACTGTAGGACTATATACACAACTGAAAGACTCAGGATTAGTCAGATCAAAATTTGTATGCCCTGCTGAATTTTATGTGAAAACTAGAAACATGTCTCTTTTTTTCCCACCAATTATTTTTGGTAGAGACTACACATGACACACGGGTCTTTCTTTTGAGGAGTTAAATGATGGCTTTGCTATAAAACCATTATACAGGCAGTACACATTCTGTGTAGCTATTTGGTATCATCAAGCTATGGTTGTAGTGTTACTGCACAGCTGAACCCCTGACCAGTTCCTTTCACATATCTGGGTTGAAAACCAGAGAGGTATTCATTCATGCATGACATATCTTGTGCAATTAAACCTGGCAGAGCCCATCCCTCTCAAGGTCAAACCAATGTCTTCCAACTTGAATGTTTACCTTGGTAATGGAGATTTAGTTGTCCCACCAGAGAAACAATTCACTCTGACTGTTGATATCATTTTTGGAAGTCTTCTGATCAGCAGTTCTTTGTCATTATTGCCCTGGCTGCATACAGGGAGCCCAGTCTATACCATTGTGTTAGATGGTTGGTGACAATACAAGATGGTTCATTTGCTCTTTGACAGGTTCTGCTGGGTGTCTAGATACTCTCCTCAGCAGAAGAATCTAGTGGGGGTAACAGTTTAGTTGCCAATAACTCAACAATGAAACAGGCAGTACTGGAAATGCAACAGCCAATATTGGGTTACATAGTACCATTTGCACATTACTTTGATTAATTTGTTTGAGTAATATTTATTAAGAATATGATTTTTTTATAGCAACAGTGGAATTAGCCTTACTCTGTGGAGCAGAGACGTAGATTATAACTAAATCTTTGATGGAGCAGATAGATGGGTGTTGCTTAAAAATGCAATTAATGTGCCCTGTAGAAGTTACACATCAAATACTAAACTGTATGATAAGCTACCAAAGGTGCAGCAAATATGCAGGAAAGAAGGATGCCTTTGTCTATATTTCTGAGATGAGATATTGTAACAACTTACATAATTTGGATTTTGGTTCTCATCTTTATTGTCATATTCACGTTTCAGCTGTTGTATGATTTGGCCTTCTTCAGGATCTGTCTATATTTCTGAGATGAAGTATTGTAACTACTTACATCCTTTGGATTTTGGTCATCTTTATTGCCATATTCACAATGTTTCAGACATTGTACACTCTGGCCATCTTCAGGATCTGTCTTTATTTCTGAGATGAGATATTGTAACTACTTACATTATTTACATTGTTTGAACTGTTGTTCTCATCTTTATTACCATATTCATATATGTTTTGGCAGTTGTATGCTCTGGTCTCAATTAGGTAATATTTGTTGCAATTTCAAACTAAACCCTTTATTTAGTCCACAGGGGTGGATTGTTTTAATTGCCAGGCTTTTGGATATCTCAGGTTTATTTAATTCTTCTTGATAACTCAACTTTCTTTTGATCCAAAAGTGACTTCTCAAAGAGTTGTGAGTTCAATCACTGGCCACAGCAGAGAGTTGATTTATTGAGTTTTCCTTCTCCAACATTGGTTGCTACTCAAGGTTATAGAACTCAGCCTGTCCTGCTATTTCACTTATAGCTGTTGGGAGAAGAGATGAATTCATATCTTTCTCAAGGCTATTTGCACATAAATACATGTAATAGACTTAACTGGAATTTGAACTCAGCTCTCCGATTCTTCAATCTGAGCCACTATTTCCACTGCCTTCATCATTTTACTGCAGTTAAAATTGTAAATAATATTTTACAGATTAATTCTGGTACAGAATTGCAATTAATACAGAAAGCAAGTTGATGGAATTTCTCTAAAGGTAATAATGTTCAATACCTGAATGCCATTGTTTAAAAAAATAAGGTGAATAAAAGAGATCACTTACCATCACACTGCTGAGTAATTTCATTCAGAGAATAACCGGTGCCACAACTTCGGCTTCGTCTGCAGACAAAGGAACCAGGACTGTTGTAGCACTGAAGCCCCAGGGGACAACTATCTGCCAGTCCACATTCATCAATGTCTGAAAATTAAAAACAAAAAGGTTTGGGATTATGAATTAACATAAACTTTGGGGTTTTGCTTGGAAATGGATAAAGTGTTCATTTGTGACATTCCCTGCTTTATTGTCTGAAATTTGAAGATGAACTAATGATATTTAGACAGTCTTTGTTGTTTTAGCAATATTTTGACTAACAGAAAATTATCAAATGTGTATAGACCTGAAGAAAACCAAAGAATTATAGGTTGAAATGTAGTAATCAAAATTAATATATATATATATATATATATATATACTGTATTTTTCAGTGTATAAAATGCATATTTTGACAACAAAATTTCATGCCTAAATCTGCTTGCATCCTATCCACCAAAGATATCAATATTATACATATATATATATATATAAAGATATTTTTGTAGGTACAAAATTTAATGATCGAAATAAAAGTATAAAACTTAATATTACAAGACATATTAAAAATGGGCGAAGCAACCGGTTTCGCTGCCTCTCTTCAGGCTTCAACAGGAGATTTAATTTAAAATTAACACAGAAAAATGTACAATGAAAAGAAGTTGTGGGAGGAAAAAAAAAAATAGCAAAAGGAACTAGAGACAAATGAGAGCGAGCCCCAACAAACACTCACGTTGTTTACACAAAGAAGGCTTATGGGACCCGATGTAAAGTGCCTTTACCTTTAGATGAAATAAAGAGTAAGACCGGGACAACACGGTGAACCAGTCAACACTAAATTTGGCTGCACAATCTCTGTTAATTTTTAGTTTGGTCAATGAAAATTAGTCAAAATTCTATTTACCAAATTTGTTCCATGAAATTCCCTTTTGGGTTTTTGTTGGTCAGCAACTTTTTATAGAGATTCTTTTGGCTGGATATAATAGTCCTCGAATCAAAAGCCGGAGTTGATAAAAGCAGAAATTCCCCTTCTTCAACTGACAACCCTTTTCCAAAATCCCATTTTTATAGGGGCTAACACCTAATTTGCATTTTTCTAGATGTTTCTCGAATCATCTAGATTTTTCTCGAATATACTGGAATGATCTAGAATCTTCCAAACGTTCTATTTCAAATTTCTCTATTTTATATCTACTTCATGAAAGAAAACTTTTTTGTAATAACAAGTAGGACTCAGTGGAATCCCTTATTATAGAAATGCATCCTCGTAACAATATATATTAGGGGACACTGATGTCAACACTGAGGGTGACAGTCTGTTTCATGCTTGAATGCAATCTTCAGGCCTGAAGGTTGTATTCAAACATGAAACTGACTGTTTCCACTATGAGTTGACCTCAGTGTCTACTTTTATATTTGCGTACACTCTATCTCTGATATTGAACATTTTTACCCATAAATATAATATACTTAAAATTATATATATATATATATATATATATATATATGTATATATGTATATAGTCTATATGAAATTTTTACATATCTGTAAAAGGACAATATCAATAATGACAAAAGGAAAACTTAGCTGATGCCTTTCATCCTCTAAGGGACTTTATCAAAGGTAAATGCAAGGATTTTATTTTTTTAACCAGTATATATATATATATATATATATATATATATATATATATATATATATATATACATACACACACAACAGCATAAATGTATTTAGCTTTTCCAAGTTTTTAGGTATAGGAACACTCATAAATATTCATCAGGTTAACTGAAAGTCAGGCAAGTTATGGAGGCCATGAAGTGATATATTTTAAATACCATGAGGTTATGAATTTAACTGTTTTCTTTTAATTTTTTAACATTTTCATAGTCATGTATCTTGTCTTGGGAAAATGGTAATTCTTTCGGGAATGGAGATATTGGAAAAGATCTGGGGCACAGATTTATATTTTGATAAGATTCAATAGTGGAACTCTCAGGAATTTTCTAAGTAAGTTACTTTCTCTTTTGATAAGTTTGGCAATCTTTAGATCAATGTTGTGGTTGAATTTATTTCTATGAATAACTAATGTATTTGATAAATTGTTTGTGTTCATAGATATGTTTTTTAAATTTCTGCAAGTTTTCCCAAGGTATTGTGAGGAATAGTTCTTTATATATGCATATGTATTTATTAAGTGTCAATATATTGAAATAGTTTAGTTCATTTGAATGTGTTATTTATAACAATTTCAAATGTGAAATGCACTTGACCAATCAGAATGCTTAATGCAATTATCATCAGTAATTGTCTAATCAGTATTTCAATTTTCATTCGGTACTCACCAGCCTGATATGGGTTTAGTGTCAAGTTAGATGCATCACCAAAAGTTGAAATAACATATATTGGACATAGAAAACAAAATAGTTTATTTCTCTATAAGAGATCATTTTTATGTTTATACATTTTTTTTATAGATACAAATATTTAAGTAAATACTCTGTTTATAATAAACAGTATTAACAACATTTACCAGCCTGAAATGTTCAAGAAATTGTCATAGAAAAAAAAGGATCCTCCGACAGGAATCAAATTTGTACCCTATATGGAACCATCATATATCCTGAGCCTGACGTGCTTTTACCGATTTTGCCACAGAGGAGTGTTTCGGTTCACAAGGTTGATTTTACTGTTTTTAAACTACAATTTTCCATGATTTTCTCATGTACATTCATATCTGCTTGATGTGTATCCAAATGTAAACAAATGACGTCACACATTATGAAATGAACAAAATCCGACAATTGTTTTAAGACATTTTTTATGTTTATACATTCTTTTTTTTATAGATACAAATATTTAAGTAAATGCCCTGTTTATAACAAACAGTATTAACTATATTTACCAGCCTGAATGTTCAAGAAATTGTCATAGGAAATATGCATCCTCTAACAGGAATCGAACAAGTATCCTATACGGGACCGTCATATAGCCTGACGTGCTTTTACCGATTTTGTCACATGTCATTTTTTTCTATGCATTTCGGTTAGCAAGGTCAATTTTACTGTTTTTAAACTACAATCTTCTATGATTTTCTCGTGTACATTCATATCTGCTTGATGTGTATCCAAATGTAAACATCTATACACAACTAAATTCAAATTAAGTGTAATCAATTAACTATTTATAGTATTTCCTTATTTTGATGTTTGCAGCTCTTTTGTGTCCAGAACAATAGTCATTTTTTTAAGTATCAGATTGAATCTTTGATCAATAAAAATCTTTCAAATACACAAAGAACTTATTTTTCTTAATAATACATTTTCTTCAAAATAAGTCCGTCAGTGAGAAACAGAGGCATGATGGCGTCCATCTTGTGATTGTGGCTGGCAGCAGTGCTGGTGCATGCATGACATGAGCGGTCGACATCCACAGCAAACTGGCACCCCGGCATCTACCACAATTGCCAAGTACATTGACGGCGGCGTGGACTGTACAGCACTAGCTACATGCCACCACATTGAAGTCAGTGGGAGATATGACAGCGTCCATCTCGTGATCGTGGCTGGTGTTGTCATCGATGAAGGTGGTGGACAACGTCACTCAAATCATGTGCATGTCTAACCGAACTTGACGTCCTCGTGGGACATAGAGGCAGTACGAAAACAGAATGGCTAGACGTAATTTGGTGGGACACAGAGATGTGACAGGGCCTGTCTCACGTAGGGAGCAGATGATATATGCTGGACAAGGAGGCGGCAACAGTAGATGCAAGCAGGCCATCCATGCAATGGTGGCCCGACCTTTTGGTCTGCTGTTGTGGAATGAGCGTAGACCTTCAATTATATTCTGAAGAATATAGTATTTATTTATATCAATCCAGTCTGTTTATATCCATCTCTGTTCACTCATATATTTCCTATATAATCTCACTGAATTTGTTCCAATTTCTCTGTATCGTTAATGACAACGTTAGAATGAGAGAGAGATTGAAACAGGATCAGATTTGCATCAAAGAGACAGACAAGAATGCCTACACATCCTGTGTACTGTGATCCCCCCCTCTAAGAAAACTGAGACAAATATATTGTGATGTAGGCATCTGTCAGTCTCAGGAGACATAGTCTACTAGGTTGGTTAACAAATCCCTGTTGCAGATGCCTGCTCAGGCATATTTGTCTCTTCAACATCTGCAGAGCTAACCTGGGGTTTATGCTGCAACTATGCATATAGCTCAAACAGTTTTGTCTACTGAATGTCACCCATAAAACTTGGCTCAATGGTGCATTCAGGCTGATATTATCAAGAAATCTCCTCCTTAACAAATCAACAATGGTGTGATTTGAACCTGGATCAAATGGTTTGGATGCTAACATTTTAACCATTTAGCCTTTCAAATATATTAAAATTGATGCAAACAAAATTTAACTTGTTTTTGACAAAATCCTTTATTCATATTAATTCATAGCATCATTATTCAATCACAAAGTATTTTCCTGATTTTCAGTGATTTTATACCAACTTTCAGAGAATGATTCTAATTTTGAATTAATATTTTAAGGAATTTTTTGTGATGCTGAAATTATTGGAACCATTGACCAGACAAGAAGTGTTGCATAAAGTAAAACAAGAGTCTTAATGTAATAAGTCTGGAGGAGAAGACACAGCATCTAGAAGAACTTTCCATACCAACTCCATGATTGTGTCACATTTGACACATGAAAATAGATTGTTGCCATGTGGCCAGCAAAATTGACTTTCCTAATCACAAAAAAATTCCCATAGTAACAGTTTTTTTTTTCAGCAAGTGTTAAAGAAAGAATTTGCTTTTAACTCTGCAACAGAGACAAACTTTTTCCCTTATAGTAAATTTTATATTAGCTGAAGTGTTGCAAATTGTCTTTGATCTAAATATGATTTTTGTTGGATTTTAATTCATATAAGAAGTTAATTTTTTATTGAAAGTGACTATCCAAAAATGATATTTTTTGTGTTTAGTAAGAAAAGAGACAAAAGTTAATCAATCTTCCCTTCCATCATTTGGAATATTATTTTCCTAGATTTTTTCTAAGAATTGTAAATCATGTGTAACACTTGACTGGTGGCATAAATAATAAAGAGCTAAGAAAGTTTCAAATTCACTTCTAAGCTTACAAGAGGCTGCTGAGAACTTTAACATCGTCAATACATTTTCAAGCATAGACAATTTTACCAAATAAAAACCATATTGTAAGAACCTGACCTTCACATTGCAGTTGATCTTGGTTGGCAGTGAATCCTGTTCTACAACACTGGAAGGATCCCTCCAAGTTCAAGCACTGGTGGCTGATGTTGCAGTTGTGGGCTTGCACAATACACTCATCAATATCTGGTAAAAAAAAAAAAATTCAGCAATGGCCATAAAATCAGAGAAAAGTTTACATACGACTTTTGTTAATATGGATTCAAATTAGTAAATAAACTTTGGATTATTATATTTATTGTGGTGAGATATTTGCTCATGAGATTTTGTTTGCTTTACATATTCAGAGATGCAAATGATAAAAGTTGTATATGAATCTAATTCAATGATCATTTACTGTATCACATTTCAAACATGAGAAATGGATGTTGCCATCAAGCCGAGCAAAACTGACTTTCTTGATCAGCAAAAATAGAAAAAATTTCAATGCATAATTCAAACAAGCCAATTGCTCACAGTAACAGCTTTTAAAGAATGTGTTTTTAATTCCACTACAGTGGAATTCTCCCTCACTATAAATATAATGGAGGCACAGTGGAGTAATGGATAGCAGCTCAGGTTGTGGAATCAGAGAGCTGAGTTTGAATTTCAGTTGAGATCATTATATTCACTTATGTGTTAATACACCTGGGAAAGACAGAAATCCATCTCTTCTCTCTCCAGAAATGGGTAAATAGCAGAACAGACTGGGTCCTATAGTCTTGGGTGGCAACTGATGTAGGAGAGGAAAAAACTCAAAACCAGCCTGGAGAGGGTTGGGATCTGTCAGGCTATTTTGCCCAGGAAACACCACTGCCGCCATGGATGCAGTACATGTGATGTCCCTACAACCCTATGGGGCTACGGGTCTCCTGATTGTGAAATATAATGTAGGTTAAGGTGTTGAAAATTTTCTTTGATCTGAATGTGATTTTATTGGATTTTAATTCATGTTAGTATATATATATATATTAGCTTACATTGAAAATATGAGTGAGAGTTTCAATGTCAATACAATATTCAGGTACTTATAATAGTACAGTATTTACATTAGTCGGACTATTGTCCTCATCTTTGTCGCCATATTTGTCACAACGTTTCGGCCGTTGTACGCTCCGGCCTTCTTCAGGTGGTTGGAATTTCGAACTGAACCCATTATTTCGATCACTGGGGTAGACTGTTCTAGTTCCATGTGCCATGTTTGATGGATGTCAAACATGGCACGTGGAACTAGATATATTACTTATAATACTAGATTATATTACTTATAATAGTGATGAACTGTCCATTATAATCATTAGTATTTTTTTAAAATTGTGGGTCTCATCAAAGTAATGTTATATAGTATATTAATTCTATGTTTTGAACAGGTGTTACCATCCTTGGGTCAGGGTGGACCTGGGAATAATAGCATTTAAGAGGTGGTTCCAAAACAAACAACAATTTGAAAGAAACTCTAATAGTCATAAAGGAAGACATGGTGTCTTAGGAGAGAATTTCAAACTTAGTAGTAGTAGAGAGCAGATATTTACCATGTCTCTTAGACCAGCAGTAGCTAACAAATGTGTATTAGATTTCTTACCCCTAAAGGAACACATGGTAGCAGACTCGCAGAAATTATAGGTGACCACATGTATATATAAATGTGATAAATTGTAGAATTTGGTAATAGCAACAGACAGTACTCAACTGTACTAGAAGTTGAGTCTGACTGACTAAGTTAATCTACTGGACAAATTGGTAGGTGGTTTATATAACAGTTTGGGAGATTCCATTCTGTTATGCGGGCCAGCCTATTCTGTAAGTTCTGATTGGCTGATGATTCCAGTGTGGATATTGTACTCAATAAATATCCAGCATACTGTGACTGTTCAAGAGTGGGAAATCTATTGAGTTACAACCCTGTTCATTTTTATCAGCCAACTGGACACTAGTTGGAAACCTTGCAAAGGTAAGTCTCACACAATTAATTGTTCATCTCCCTCCCTTCCCCATTGTGCGAGGGTAATAGCCTTTGAGGGGAAATGAGTTCTTTCTGGCCTGGCTGATTGCATGGGAGTAATCTAGACAATGCTCGGGCGATTTTTTTGTGGCTGGGCGATGCTGGGTGATGTTGTTTCATTTTCTTTGGCATGTGGTAAATGCATATTGGGATCCCAGGCTAGGGATTGAGGTAGTGACTGCAGGTGTTTGAAGCCTCCTGAGAAATCGGCAGTTCCACAAGGTGATTCTACCAGATCCATCCACTCTGATTCGATATTGACGGTTAGTTAGTGTCTCATCAACTCTACCTGTTGTGTCCCAGTGGTGATCAGTTGGACATTGTATTGATACTATGTCCCCTTTCTGAAGTGGAACCAGGGTATGGGCTGTATGGTTGTACCTTTCTAGAAGGCAAGCATTACATTGGGATAGGCTTTTCTCACGATTTTGAGCTGCAGCTATACATTTTGCATGCAGCTTGTATAGCATGGGTTGGAATGGTATAAAATCCCATAGCCGATGGTAGAGTAGAAGTTGTGCTGGGGATAGCCCAATGGTCTGGATGGGCGTGTCCCTGTACTGAAGGATAGCCCATGCTGCTCTCATTATCTAGGGATCCTTGAGCTCCTGTGTTACTATCTACTATCCTTTTGGCAGATTTGATAGCCAGCTCTGCTCGGCCATTGGATTGAGGATAGGCAACGGATGATAGTCTATGTTTTACCTCCAGTCATTCTGGAATTGTTGGAATGGTAGTGATTTGAAAGGTGGACCACCATCAGTGCTGAGTTCCTCTGGAGTACCATAGGTCTGGAATATATCTTGACAAATTGAAATTATTCTCGAGGCATCTGCATGTCCATGGCTTAAATGATAAAGGATTAGCCATCCAGTTAACCTATCAGCATAGACAAGGTACTGCTGACACCTGACATGGAATAGATCCAGGACTATTTGCTGGAATGGCCAATATGGCAATCATGTGAGAGTGATTGGCTCTCATGGTTGACAAGGGGCCATGTTTGAGCATACCATGCAATTGGCCCTAATATTACGGATTGCAGCATTCATTCCGTGCCAGTAGATGGACTCATTGGCACAGGCTTTCATGCCAACCACACTCTGGTGTGCTAAATGCAAGCTAAGCAATATTTCTCTTTGGTGAGAGGTTAGAATCACTATCCTTCTATTCAATAACACTAAGCCATTGTCAGTGCTAAGGCAGTGACTTACCTCCCAATATTCATGGAGTACATGTATGGTGAGATGGTGCGTTTTTGGAAATCCATCCTGTACTGCATTTATCAATTGTTTGTATAGGGGATCATTGCATCCTGCTGCATGGATGAGGTCTTGTGAGGTGATGGCTATGTTGTCGAAGATCCCAAATGCTGCCGTTAAAGCAGTCGATGTCATGACATTGTCTATTTTATCAGACTCTAGAATGTCTGATTGAGTGGATTGGATAGGAGGGCTTGTTCGGTGATTTTACCACCAATGATAAATTTTACTGGCAGTCAACCTCAATGAACGAGGATGAAACCTCCCACAGCACAAACTATTTTCTCTGATGGGATCAGGTTGCAGTTCGTGAGTCCCATCTTTACTAAATGCTTTGGTCCCTCGAGACATATGGATGCTCCACTGTCAGGGAAGACCTTAAGTGTAGTGCACTTCATATCAGGGATGTTTTTAGCTTGTCTGAGGTCTGGATTAGGTGAAAACGGGATTGCCAATGCATTTATTTCAACTATTTGGCTTTCATTTATACAAGTGTATGTGCCCGTTTTTTTGGTTGAATGTAATATGGACAATGACAGTGTCCATGGGAGTGTCATCAGATTTGCAGCTTTGTACAGTGGCCTTATTTTTTACCTGTTTTGCTAGGCACAATCTCACAAAATGGTTGGACATTTGACACCATGCTAGACATGCTAGCTGGCGGGAGCTTGTTCCTGGAATACTATGTTGGTGACTACCACAACCTCTGCAAGCTTGGTGGGGTTTGGGCTCACTGACAATGTTGTCCTGATACAAGGTAAATATCCAGCATATTATGACTATTCAAGAAAGAGAAAAGGAAATGTGTTGAGTTACAACCCTGTTTATTTCTGTCAGCTAGTTGGAAACATCCTCGAGAAGATGAGTTTTACACTCTTGATTGTTCAATAAATGTCTATTTTTATATTTTTACAGATCATTAAAAATCATTCTCATAATTTTAACCCTATTACTAATGCTACCATGCTACTATCAAATAGTAAAGTTTAAGAACACATATACTGGTCCTTTCAGTGACTGTTACAAGTTATTTAAAGCTGAAACATATTTCAAATTATAGAAGGTTGTTTAATGTATCTGGTACTTCTCAATCACTCACCCATTTAAATACTGACCAGACTTGACATTGCTTAACTTTGGTTAATGAACAGAAACCAATGTTTTTAGTGTTATTTGACTGTATGTAAGAATGGCAGGAAGAGTCAGGTTTTTTCTGGAATGGTACTGGGAACTGGCCATTTTTTATCATCTTTAGTCTTAGTTTGTATTAAACTAAACCTGTGAATACCACTGAATATTCTTCAAAACATCATAACCGTTATTAAGCCTAGAATAGTGAGAAGAATTATAAAAATTTTCACAACATTTATCCCACAAAAAAGAATTACCATTTATCAAGAATAAAAGAATGAGATTGGAATGAATTTTTCACTTTTCACAATCTACTTACCTTCACACAAACGTTCAACAATATTGTAAGCAAATCCTGGCGGGCATTGGCACTCTTTGGAAGTTACGTTGTACACCATTTTAGATTGACATCGACAACTCGATGTGAGACGATTAAAAATGGCATGTTCAGGACAGTTTGCTTCCTGGCGGCAAATAAAATTTCCTGGGATGTTGATACAACGCTGCCTATCTGGACAAGGACGTGGAAATTGCAAACATTCATTAATATCTGAAAGATAAACAATGGGAAATATGAAAAAAGTATTAAATGTAAAAAAACATTTAGACAAAAAAACTTAATGTATACTGAAAACATTCTGACCATCGATTTTCTGCTTCTGCGCTGTTTTTTAAATCTTTTAACTTTGAGCAAGGAGATAAATCCACTAAGATGCAAGGGTTTACTGACAATGAAAGAAACTGCAAAAAAATGTTAAAGCAGAAAGGACAGTAAAATAACAAGATTCAAAAAGACAGAAGATGATAATTGATGTTGCATTTAAATTTTTGAAAAATGTAATTGACAAGAAAGCAAGAAGATAAATGAGAGTTCCACAGACAAGAAATGGAAGTGAAGAAACTATCAGAATAGAACTTACAGTTACATCTAGCTATTTCAAAAATAAAATGATGAGACTTAACTGTCAATCTAGTCAGTCTGTTATGTGCCATATATGATACACGCTTAGGTAATCATGTATCTTTTGATACATGACTGACAAGGCAGATTTATTTTTCCTGCAATAGGTTGCCATTTCTTTCTGCGGTAGACCAGTTGCCATCCAAAGCTATAGAGCCCAGTCTGTCCTGCTATTTACTCACAGCTAGGTGGAGAAGAAGAGAATTCATACCTTTCCCTAGGGTATTAGCACGTAAATGAATCTAATGGATTCAACTGGAATTCAAACTCGGCTCTCCGATTTCTCAATCCAAGCCACTATTTTCTTTATAATGGTTAAATTAACTGTTTCCTTGTAAGGAAACATTCAGCATTCATTAACACTATTTAAGAAAAAAAAATAGGTAAAGCAGCAATAAAGGCTTTTGACAAATTAAGTAGATTATCTCTCTTGTTTGACATGTGCATTTGTTGCTCCATTAATGGATAAGGTGAAGTAACTTCTTTCAACCTCTTCATAAATTTTATTGTATTTTATCAATGTTGACTAACTACTTTAGCAAATCGGTATAAGGATTTAAACACACTACTAGATTGGCAGTTAGGTCTCATCAAGAAAACTCATTTCATAGCTGAGATGTACATATAAACCCCTCTAAATATAAATGGAAGGGTGAGTTTTCTCCTGGAAATGTTTTATAGGAAATGAATATTAGTTAACTTGCAAGTTGCCTTTACTTTGAGTCATTTAATGGAGAGATATATGGGTGAATAGAGTCCACTCATGCAAATGTGTTGGGCAGGTCCATTCCAGCAAAGTGGACTAACCCATCTGCTGCATTAGGTACTCTCCTATAAATGAGGTAGAATTAGCTGGCTTGGCTTTCAAAGGAGCCCTAAGAAGGTAGCCATATTAGCAGGTAAGTCATTTGACTTCTACAACACTTAAATACAAATGGAAGATCATGAAGGATAAGTAGCAGCTTTTTTCTTGGAAATGCAAATGAACAATTATGTATGATGTAATTTTTATCTAAATGCATAACTTCATAAATCTATAACCCCAAATTGTCTAGTTCTGAAAGAAATAATAAATAGAATTTAGGTAAATTTCTACTTGGAAACTTGATGAACAAAATGATCCCACTGACCTGAACATGTCCTTCTGTCTGCGTTGAGAACAAAACCTGTTCGGCAAATACACTTGAAGCTGTAGCCATCATTTTCACAGAAGTGGTCACATGGATTGTTCAGATCACAAGAAGAATATGGATTCCCACCTGCAAAAAATAGATGGAAATGCTAAAGAAATTTCATAAATTTTGGTTGATTTTTATGACTGATCGGAAGAGCAAGGAATGGACTGTCCTATTCTTATACTGTTTCTATTCTTGGACAATGTGAACATGTGATATATTAAATCAGTATATTTCATATTTCAGTGTTTAAATTGGTCAAAAGAGGAACACTCAACATCTATACATTTCTGCCTTTGAGTTTCATGATTATTTATACCTTTACAATAAAACTCTAAAGGTTTGGATGCTAAAAAATCCAATCCTTTCCCTATCAAGACTAGAGCCCAGTGTATCCTATTATTTACAAGAGTTTGAATTCAGTTTCATTCTCCTAGACTGGATGTCACCCAAGGCAAGAGAACCCAGATTGCACTGCTATTTAATCACAACTGGGGGGAAATGTATTTCCAAGGGCACTACTGCAAAGCAAATAAAACAGACTTGTTCAGAATTTGAACTCAGCATGTCAACTTCACTTTCCATGATGATAGCTGTTACACTATACACATATCCACATATATGTGAAAACATGAAAATTAAAGTAACAGTGTCATCAGACTGGTATTATCAATGTTCAGACATTTTTTAACTAGTAGACAAAAATAAGAAGCATCCTGGGTATGATGATAAACTACATCCGTGTCCTGGGTAAGACGATAAATTACATCCAACAGCAAGGCCTCTGATCAGGAGTTTTTGAGGAGCGTGGAACTACCTTTTAATTGCTGGTGTTCCCAGGTCCACCCTGACTCGGTGTGGTAGCACCTGTTAGGGTCCCAGCTATGGGAAATAGTTAACCCCGAAACTGAGGTAAAAAGCATTATAAAAGTGTAAAAATAGGTTTTAATACCAGAAATACTTTGTAAAAAATTATTACCAGAAATAAATTTAAAAAAAATATTACCAGCAATACGTTTTTAAAAATAATATTACCAGCTATACAATTTTGAGAAAAAAATATTTCCAGAAATACATTTTTGACAAAACAAAAATATTACCAGGAAAAAAAAAAGTTGTCAGCATTAAATGACCCATTGAGATTGATATGCCGTAAAACAAACCAAAAATAAGAAGGAAGGACTATCATATGGATCTAAGAAGTGGCATATTCTGTTTTGTTTTCTGTTACTTCTAGAATCAAGGACAATTTCCTCCTCCATGATGACTATTATTAAAATTATGTTTTTTTTTTTTAATTAATGAAGAGAGTAATGACTAAAAAGAAATTTAAAATCTTTAATTAAAAAGTTAGGACTTGAAATTTTTACTTTTCCTGAATTATAAAACAAATTTTAATGCAGTTCAAACTGTTCATATTTATCTTCTTCTCTTTATTGCATCCCTTCAAGACATAGGTGATGATGGCTCTCCACAATTTCCTATTCTTTGTGGCTCTTAGCAGTTTTTCTGCCTTTACTAAGGTTGTCACACCTGTTCTGCCATCCATTCACACAAGTTCGTAAAGTAAATGGCTTGCTGACTTCCCTATCTCTCTTGCCCACAATATGCCCCATGAGGGTTAAGTTTTCCAAACCACTATCTTTGTCCAGTGCTTTGGTGAACTGCTTGATCAAGCTGAGCTTGATGTGCAGTGGTGGGAAAAGTATCCTGTCTCTGTCCACTAGAGGCTTATTGATGACGTTTGTTGATCTGCAAGGCATCAATTCCTTCCCAACAGGCCAGTCCTTTTTTGTGTAATCTCCCTACTATCCCACATGAACAGAAAGCATGGATACTTGGTGAACCTCGACTGTTGTCTCAACAAAAATTTCAACATCTTCAGGTCGGTGCAAATAAACCACTCATGCTGATCATAAATAATTTTCCCCATTATATACTTCACTGCTTCATATTTCTCCTTCAGTGATCATTTGCCACTGTCGATGAACAGTCTCCAATCTTTGGGTCTGTACTGTGGCACTCTAATTTTGTGCAGAAGCTACACAATATCTGTACTGTACACCGAGTCCTCTTCAAAGAAAAAAACAAAGAATACTCTTGATGCCTGTTGCAGTAGAAGGTGATACGAGCACTCTCAGTGAGGAGGTTTTTTTTCCTTCAATCTAGATGCCAACAGTTTGGCAGAGGTATTTGAGAAGTTGAGATTGTGAATGAGATCATTTAGTTCACTATTAACATTATTCAGACTATTGTCCTCATTTTTGTCGCCATATTGGTTGGAATGTCGAACTGAACCCTTTATTTCGCTCACTGGGGTAGACTGTGAAATCTAACGTCTCCAAAGACAAGTATTGGAATTTCATTACAATGAGCTACAGGATAATGTGCTGATTAAAGATCAGAAGTAGCAGTCAATGCTATAGTTTGTTGGCTCCCTCCAAACCACGGGAATTCCAAATTTCACACGACTCTTCATGACCTTGGTACACCAATGCAGATACTCAGTACATGTCTTACATACCATGTGTGACATACAAGCTTGATCCTGGTCACCAAGCTGCTGAGTCATTTTTTGATAGTGTGTGTAGAAGTGAATGAGGTCTTGAATATCAGCAGTTAGAGTGACATGGCCCTTAGAATTGGAGAGACTGTTGCTGAGGTCAAACCATGATTTTTATACTGTTATTCCTGAGAAATTGGCTCCTGAATTATATAACTAATTATTCCTAATTGTCCCTAAAATATGACGTGGTATGCTTACTACTACGTCCATGCAATATTTTGGTGGTAGACCTAAATTATAATGACTAATAAAACAACCTTTCTGATTTATATTCTATGGTTTTGTATTGTACAGTATAATTGGTGTGTTTTGAGATGTAATCACTTTCTTGTGTGTTATTGGTTTATAAATATTTTGGAGGCGTGTTTTAATATTTATGAAGCTATATTTGGCTGAGAATACTTCTGATGGGTTAAAATTAATAAGTTTATAATTAACATAATAATTAGTTTTATTGTGTGAAATATGTTGCATTATTTAGATATTTTAATGGATATGACAATAGAAACAAAAATGTAAAAGACAGCATGTAGCCATATCTCAAAAAGTTGACCTGATTGAACAAAACCAATGTAATTTTTGGATTCAGCACATTAAAATTGTCCTAAATCAGCTAAAAATATTTAGACAATAAATTTGGTGTTACATGATCAAAATATCGAAATTTCCTTAAGTAAATAAGAGGTAGTAATTAGTACACCTACTTACTTTACCAAGTAATGTGGTTAATATGAAAATAAAACAAATGGAAGGTAAGCACTTAGAGTTACAGAGAAAAAAAACAACATAAATGAGACAATTGGTTGTTACCAATTGTAACGACATTCAGTAGATAATTAACATTTACAAAACAAATGAATTTTGATGTATACATGGATTTATATATATATATATATATATATATATATATATATATATATAAAAATAGGACATTTAAGTCAACACTTAGAGGCAACAGACTGTTTCATGCTAGATGCAATCATGGCTTGATGATTGCGTTTATCGTGAAACAGTCTATCGCCTCTGAGTGTTGACTTCAATGTCCACTTTTATATTTATATTTACATACACTATCTCTGATATTGAGCACTTTATCCCATAAATATAGCATATCTTAAAACTATGTTTCATCACATATATATATATATATATATATATATATATATATATATATATATATATATATATATTTATTTAGGCAGCAATTTTTTCATTAATGTATGTTTCATTAAATAATATAGACAAGTTTTCTCTATTTATTTTAAGTAAGTTCCTTTCATATTATCGTTGCTTTGAAATTTTTCATGCAACAAAAACAGACTATCATTATTGTTTGTCTATATTATTTAATGAAACATGCAATAATATATATATATATATATTTGCATGCAGAAATAGATGCAGCATCACTCAGAAAAGTTGAAAAATATATCATTATGTGATTATTTGTAGTTTTCTTGTTGTCACATGAAGGTTATCTGAACAGGAAATAGTGTAGTATTACCATACACATTATACATGGTTGACTGTGCAACATGTGATATGTCTGAGGACTAAGAAAGGAAATAAGACATGTCTTTTCAATACAGCATGATGTGATTAAAAAGTGAAAGAGGGTTAATGTGCTTTTCTTTTATACTGCTTAAATAATGCCACCTAGTGGGTGTTAAGTGAAGTACTCTGACAGAAAAGATTGGGTAATTCTAGATAAGGTAAACTGCAGTGATTGGTAATTATAATGTTTTTTGCATAAAAAAATTGCTCAAGTGTTATCTATGTCTTTTATTGAGCTTCAAAAGTAATATTCTTGATCAGTGTATCAATTTTATTCTCCCCTCTATCCGATAAGTTCTGGTTTTCTAATTATTATGAACTCATTATCTATTTGATTTTAGAAATATTGGGAATATCAAAATGAACAAAAAAGGTAAAAAAGACACATAAACAAGATAAATATGTTTGCATTGTCCAAGGAGAGGGTTCTTCAAAATTTCTCATTCTTCACAAGTTAATCTGCTTAATATATGACTTGTTAATTTCATCAATCTGACCATTTTGCTTGTTTCATGTAGAAATCTCTAAGAATAAACTGAATTGAATTCAGCCACTGACGTTTTGATGAAACTTAGTGAATAAATTTAAAGAGACTGTTTCTATATGTGAAAGCAACAAGGATAATATTGAAAGAATTAATAAAATGATTTCACTTACCAGATAATCTTATTCGTTCCGCTTGACAACATTCACGGAATGTGGTATCACATGGGTCACCATAATTTGTAAGATTACAGTGCAAACCACTTTGGACAGCAACTTTTCCGAGTCGACAACATTGACAGCATTGCTAGAGATAAAATGGAACAAATAAATTCACAGATAAGACAAAAATGTCTGTTTATATCGGTCTCAAGCTGTCAGTTGGAGTCACAAAAGAATCAGAGAGACCCATTTAAATTTGTTACATTCACTTACTTTCTAATACCCTTGGTAAAGGTATGAATCCATCTCTTCTCACCCCAGCTATGGTTAAATAGCAGAACAGACTGAGTCCTATAGTGTTGTGTTGTTTGGCAATCAGTCTACGAAAAGGGCAATTCTGAATTTAAAACCTAAGGAGGGTCATTTGGGGAACTTGTGGCACACAGTGCACTACACAGTGCACCAGGTCTATGTATTTGGCTCTTCCAAAAAGTGCAATTGGTTCTGCACAAGCCTTTACCACTATAATTAAATCATATGTGTGGGTAGTTGGGCTGTTTGGTTCTAATGATTTTCTGTATCCTCATACGTTGAAAATGATGGGAGAACCTAATCCGTCAGGTCGTATGAATTTTCTTCATCTCTATCATGTAGTTCTATACCGTCCATAAGATGTCTGTCCGGAAAGTTGTTATGGAGTGATTTCACAGTGGAGGCTTGTATTTGTACTAAGTCGGTCCTAAAACAGGTTTGACGTACAAAACGTTAGGAACTTCATATAATAGGTATGACGCAGTAATCTAGTTGTGGTCGCTGATACTTTTAGTATCCGACTAATGGTCGTCCGACATCAACTGACTGACCAACTCACTGAGCAACTTCCTCGTTACTCTTACTACTCCTACTTATTATAGGTGGGAGAGTATATTAGTTATAGAATAGGTGTGTTCCACTACAACAAAAGTATCTGGCCAATTAAAATATAACCTACCTAGAACAATAGCCCTAGTCCACTTCCCTTAGGACCTCTTACAAGGTCCTCTTTCAAAGTAAACATCAGCTGCTTTTGTTGCATTCTCCTTAATCTCACCCATTGTAATTCAATGGCAGTTTTATTTTGGGCAAGAACCAGAGAATCAAATCTGGTTTGAGGAGTTGACATACCTGGGTGATGTGATATTTTACCAAAATGCCATGCACAGATTGTGAAAAATCTGTTTGCTTGGTCATACAGAGCAACATGAGCTTACTCAATAGCATCTCACTGTCAACTGAGTAACTCAATAGGAGTGTATTTGTTCATACATGTGCAGTTAAGTCTGCTTTGATTGGTTGCCATGTTACATCAATGCCAGCAACTGGTTCTCCATATCTGTCTATATTTCTGAGATGAGGTATTATGTACACTATTTACATTATTCGGACTATTGTCCTTATCTTTGTCATCATATTTGTTACATTTCAGCCAAGCATAGAAATGAATACAATATGGGAACCAGTAATAAGGAGTGCAAGAGAAAAGCAATAATAACAACAAAAATTTCAATATGAGCTCTGGTAAAAACATAAATGATAACAGCAAAAGTTGTAATATGAGCACTAGTAAAAAATGTATATGAAGACATTAGTATTATAATACCCAGAATTTTATACACAGGTGTCCTCAAGGACACATGGCACAGTGGATAAAGGTGTTAGTTCCAGTGACTGGACCCATAAAGTGTGAGTTCTACTTGGCTAAGGTAGAACTTTCAGAGGGAAATTAACAGGAGATAACTGACAACCGACATCCATTAAAACATGGCATGTGGAACTAGGACAGTCTACCCCAGTGAGTGAAATAAAGGGTTCAGTTTGACATTTCAAGCTCCTATTCCGGAGTGTACAATGGCCGAAATGTTGTAATATGGCAATAAAGATGAGGACAATTGTCCAAATAATGTAAATAGGGGTTCTCCATATATTCAGAATAGTTGGATATCTTCCAGACATACCTTAAATGGATCTTAGTCACTGATCGAATGAGACACTGTATAGTCTTTCACAAGTTTGGTTCTTGTGATTCCTGGTGGCTCTGTAAGAGTGTGTTAAATATGCGTAAGTCCTAAATCCCTTCTCTCTTGAATCAGTTTGATTGTTTGTTTGATTTTTGTCATCTTCTTCTAATAAAGCAGAATACTTTGCTTGTAAATTCTTTTCCAACACCTATAAATTGGAGAGGGGAAAGTATTTTGCAGTCATTCCCACAACTGAATTGTAACCAACATATATGAATTGATTATTGAAGGGACAAAATGAACAAAGTTTATAACTCAGCTGGAAAGTTAATGCTGGAGTCTCTTCTCATAATAGCATCAGTTGGAAACCAAAGTAAGACTAGTCAATGGAAGACTAAATTAAGTCTGACAGGACAAAGAAAAGGTAACACTATTTATTTATTTATATGACAGAGCCACTTTCACCCTGGACTAAATTTATAATCCATGGATCTTTTTACTGCTCATACCAGCATCATTTCATGTTGTGTTTTAAGAAAACAAAATGAGAGAAAATTTTCTATGCATTGTGTTTTCCTTGTTCTCATAAGAGTATAAAATGAGATTACATCCAGTTTCATCCTTAGCTATATATGTGTTGTAACCTAGGGAAGGTTACTCAACAGAATAATTGCACGAAGGTTGGTAATGAACGATAATACTTAGGACAAGAACTACACATATAAGATTTGCCAGTGCTGTGTAGAAGTAGTCAACTTCATTCCACAATGAATCTCCAACTGCAGAAAAACATACAGTATTTACTACTGTATTTATGTGAATGGGGACATACCCATTATCGTCCGTAGGTATGCTACAACAATATTATCCTGAGAAATTGTTTTCTAAAAACTTAACACATTTTGATATGGTGAATACAATAATATAAAATCAAATCAGATGTGTTATTGAAAGCAAAATCAAACATTTTAAGGAACCAGTGATGTTTTGACCCAGCCGTTGCCCTATTTATTTAAAGTTACCTTGGCTTGGCAGGAAATGTCAGTTATTATCTGACAGAATTTCAGCGTGTATTTTGTCTTGTTACAATGCTGTTAAGTTGCACACAGTTTTTCAAACAAGGTCTGTGTTTCTCTCTTTTAGAATAGGTTGTCCTACTTTCAGAAAAATTTAGTTGTTTACAAGTTTAAATGTCAATGTGATGCAGTGTACATAGGATGAACCAATCTGAGGTTGGAGACGTGGGTTGTGCAGCATGTTCTTGCCTATCTGCGTTCTGACAGAGCCAATCTATAAGAAGTACTACTCAGGCAGTCCATGATTCGACCAATGGACAACATTTGCTCAACAGCCATGCTTGTGTCACCGATTATGAAGACACTTGGTTCTCAGTATTACACAGTGCTCACTCGATATACCATCTCTGAGTCCTGGAAGCTGTATTTATAAAATTTCATCAGCCCAGACTGTGAGGACAGAAGGAATATTTTTTACGTTCCTTACGTTTGTTGGAGGGATTGTGAGTATCTTTTTTCCTTTTTATACTCTTATGGAACTTGCTATTTCCCCCCCGTTGAATTTTAATTGTGTGTAATTAAAATTTTTCTCTTTTAATTGCGTTCCAACTTTCCCTCCTCCTTTATTATATTGAGTGTGTCTTCATTTGTTTTCCAACTTGCCAATGTATACCTTTGAAAAAGTGTTGGTCGAAAGGTACCTAAGGTATAGCATGACATCTGTTTTGTTTAAATCTAATATGAAATAACAAAACACAAGAAAAGGATGCAACAGTAATTCAATAGTTCAAAAATGTTCATGTTTCACCAATTCAAGCTCAAAAGTTACATTGGGTTCTTGTAGTGTAATCTATATTATAAAGAGAAAAGCTGATACTCCATCTGTTATACACTGTGTGACTTTGCATGAAGGCTCAGTCTGAAAAACCTCTACCCTAGGCTGAGCACTAAAATCATTAAGTTGGAGACAAGAAAAAAGTTCATTTTTAAACATAAAAAAGCGTGATGTTTTTATGATGTTTTTAAACTTATTATTTGGGTATAAATAGAATTATGTTTTAAAGTATTTTTTTAAATTTTATAAAAATATTTTTATGTCTGTCATTAAAGTAAAATATATGTGCCTTATGCAAATGTACATATGCATACAAATTGAATTAAATAGACATCTGTATCATGAGGACTAAATTCCTTTTTTGTCTGGCAACAACCCCAGAGTAACAGGAAAAGAGTATAAACTGAAATGTCTATCACTTTGAAATCATGCAAATATCTTTGGGAAAGATATGAATCCATCTCTTCTTCTTCTAGTTATGGGTTAAATAACGAGGCAGACTGGGCTCTCTAGCAGTGGTTGACAACCAGTCTAGGAGAACAACAATTCAAAACTGTAACAATTGTCCATCATCCCTGACAATCAGCAATGAAGATAGAAAGAAGCAAAATTTGTTTTAATAAATGTAGTGTTTAAAATGAACCAACAATTTAAATTTGAAATTTGATTATCTTCCTATTAGTGAAGTGACAGGAACTGAACTATTTGCATCCTGAGTATGACGATAAACTACATCCGACAGCAAGGCCTTTGATCAGAAGGTTTTGAGGAGCATGGAACTACCTCTTAATTGCTGCTATTCCCAGGTCTACCCTGACCCCGGGTGGTAGCACCTGTTAGGGTCCCAGCTATGGGAAAATAGTTAACCCCCCCAAAAAGGGGTTAAAATGCTATGAATGTATAAAAGTAGGTTTTAATACCAGCAATAAATCTTTTGAAAAATTATTATCAGCAATACATTTTTTGAAAAATAAAATATTACCAACAATACATTTTTGGAAATAAAAAAATATTGTTGGCATTAAATAGCCCATTGAGGTTGATATGCTGTAAAACAAACCAAACTAAACCTGAACTATTTTTTTAGAGAAAGGAGATGTGTTCATTATGACACACCACAGAAAAAAACCCTAAGTAATTCCAACAAACACCCAGTACTTGTAAATGCACAGCATATTAAGCTTTGTTTATCATGAGTTTCTGGTTCTAAGGCTTCTTGGTAATCGTAGGTTACCCTCATCTCTCTGAAAATAGTGCATTCGTATAAAACCTTTCATAAGCTGAAATAGCATAACAC